CTTCTAATTCCTTCTTTTATGCTGCAGAACATTACATATATATAATTAGAAAACTTAGCTCTTGTGTAGAAATGGGTGCCCCTTCGATAAGCGACAATTTTTTGTAAAATTTTGGTGATAAAATCTTATTTCTGGTTACCATGATAGTTTAACTTTGCTCTAGCCTCCTGATTTTTTAAAAAATAAAAATAAATTGATGTGTACATGGACAAATTTAAAGCAGTGCGCAATGCCTAGTTTGTGCAATTCTGGGATGTTTTTTTAAGTGAAAACACATCGATGTGTACATGGACACAAGAGTTTATGCAATTCTTTGACTTCTTATTTTGGTTTTGTGTAGCGGCCAGCTTGAAATTGTTTCTTCCTGGCGCCGATCTTGCCATCAAAAAAGAATCGCCAAAAAGCAAGGGGCACCCAATTGTAAACTTTTACCGAAAACTTTTTATGCAATATCCCCAAGGAACAGAAATTCAACCTTCCAGCTATGATGACTGCACGTGCATGCTTTCTTCTACGCTGTAGATTATTACATACAGTCAAAAGTCGTTAATCCGGACTCGTCGGGACTTCGGCGATTCCGGATTATCGGTTTTTCCGGATTATGGCATCTCGTAAGATGGCATGCAGAAATTCTAAAATTAAAAATATGAAACCGTAATTTATGAAAAACCGTAATTATTATTTTTTTTAAAAAACAATTATGATCTAAAGGGTATCAAAATTTACCAAAAAAAAAAAAAGGCTTAATATTTATTTGTTTACTTTATTAAACATTTCTTTCAATGTAAGTTGTTTAAGTTGCTTCGTTATATGTGATAATACTTTCTCTTTAATTCTATAAACAGACACAATTTCTTGTTCAGTTACAAAGGTCCGCTGTTCAAGTCCCGTTAATTGCTGTGCCGAGAATACCGACTAACTTGTCAATCGAAATTTTTTCATTTTCACTAACCTCTCTGTCACATTCTTCATGTCTTTATCCATTTTTTGCAGCAATTCCACTTTTTGTTTGTTGGACATCGAAACATACTTTCGTTTTGTAGATCCTTTGGAAGTTCCAGCATCGGAAATTCTATTTGACATAATCGAAAGTTCAAGTTTACTTTTATAAAATTGCTCTTTCAGTCTGCAAAAAATAATAAGCGGGATCCAATTCGAAGATTAAGGAACAACGCAATCATTAACATTAACTGAAATAGATAATTAGATAATTTTAGCTTACACCGTCCGTTATACATTAAACGCGCAGGCGAAAACGTATTCTGCACTTGCGCACACGCATATGCGCAATAGTCAAGGTCTTACAAGCACGTGTAAAACGCCTGTGCGCATGTGCCAACGCGGCGCATGCGCAGAAAGTTTTTAGCTTTGAGGTCCGGATTATAGATCATTCCCAGATTATGGCTGTCCGAATTAACGACTTTTGACTGTATATATAATTAGAAAACTTTTTATGTAATATCCCCAAGGAACAGAAATTCAATTAAAACGATGAATTATTAAAAAAATTCTTCCATATTTTAATTAGTAATTTACTTTTATTTAAAATTTATACAAATACATAAACTTTAGGTTTTCATTTTTAGATAAGAAAAATAAATATTTAATTTGTAGAATGGCTGACAAAAAATAAATGACAGATATAAACAAAACATTTGTATTATGACAAAATTAAATTCTCAAAAAAGATTAATTTTATTCAGATTCTTATAATATATTCCAACTAATTCTGTGCCTTTCTCTGTCAAAATGGACAGTTTTTCTATACAACCAACAACAATCTAAGATTGATTTTTGCATAATTTTACATACAGTGGCTCCCAAATGTGTTCGCACACTTACGATTTTCATTGAAATAGGGCTCTATCCATTAATTAAAAGTAAACTTTCTGAACTGCAATTTTAATAATAAGATCTATAATCTATTTGTAACAAAATTACATGAAATATTTTTTAAATATACCAAAACTTTATTTTTAAGAAATTAATAATAAAAAAATGACAAACATTTTATCTCACAAAAGTCTTCATACACTTCAAAAAAATCTTGACATATTAGTAAATATTTCCATTTTTTGTTAAATTAATATTTAGTAGGATATCCTTTAGCATTCACAACAGCTTTTAAACGTCTGGGAATAGATTTTACTAGTTTTTTTTTTTTTTTTAATTTCTGGATCAATGTTCCTCCATTCTTCCATCATGACTGTTTTGAATTCGCTTTTTGTTTTAATGTTGTGTTTCCGTACTCTAACCTCAAGTTCTTTCCAAATGTGTTCTATGAGGTTTAAGTCTGACGATTGAAGTGGTGTTTTCAAAACCTGTGGAGAATTATAGAGACACCACAGGCGAACGTTGAGAGCCAAATTTTGGGCTGATAATTTTAAATTGTCTCTTAAAATATTTAAATAAAGAGAATGATTCATTATGCCATCAATAAATACCAAATTACATAGTCCTGATGCTGCCATGCACCCCCACACAATAACACTTCCACCACCATGCTTAACTGTTCCAACTAAGTTCTTAGAATGAAGTTCCTCAGTTTTTCTTCTCTATATAGTTATTCGACCATCGAAACCAAAAATATTAAATTTGCTTTCGTCAGTAAATAGGACGTTACTCCAGTATGTTTCGGGTGTACTTAACATTGATTTTGCAAATGAAAGCCTAAGCTTTCTGTTTGTTTCGGGTGTACTTAACATTGATTTTGCAAATGAAAGCCTAAGCTTTCTGTTTTTCTCACTAACAAAAATTTTTTTACGAGCAAAACGCCCATGTTATCGACCTTCTCCGAGTACTCGTCGAACAGTTTCAGGTGAAATTGAAGTAGAAACTTTGCATTAAATTCTGCAGAAACTTTTACAGCACTCAAAGGTAGGTTTTTCCCAAATTTTCTAATCATAAATCTCTCATCACGTTTAGTTAACTTTCTTGGTCGACCTTTTCTTGCCTTGTTTTCAATCTGATTTTCTTCTTTAAAGTGTTTTATCACATACTGCACTGTAGAATGGGATAAATTAACTAATTTAGTGATATTTCGAATTGATTTACCACTACTGTGGTGAAAAATTACCAATTTTCGAATGCTGTTTGTAATTTTGGGTGAGTAGACTTTAAGGTACCCCTTGTATTATAGCGAAGTTGTTGTTTAATTTATTGCAAAGTTGTTGTTTCATTCATGGTAGCCTGAGTAGTTGAATGTTATGGAAGCCCTATTGTGACGTAAATGGGTGCATGATTCTGGGAAATTTTGAATCATGGGATGTTTTGTAAGCATTTTTGTCATGTATGTTGGTTTAATTCTTTAGACGGTAGAATGGCCGAATGTAGTAAGATTAATTTGAAGTTTCTGGAGGTTAATTTGGAGCGAAAGCGGAAAAGAGCTTTAATTGACTGGTGTGTAAATGAAGGTTTACTCAGTAGCCATTATAAGTGTCCTGTATGAAGGAAGGATATGCGTCTAGTCGAACGTAAAAACCGTTTAGATGGATTTGAATGGGTTTGTAGGAAGAAAGGTTCAGATGGTCACTATGTGAAGCATTCGATCAGAAAGAGGACCTGGTTTGAAAAATGTCATTTGAGTATGATTGATATTTTGATTTTTACGTGGCTCTGGGTGTACGAAACGAACTCGAAAATCATGGTAAGTGAATATTTGCTTTTGGTAGTGCTTAAATGTATAACATGTTTTTCATTTTTATGTTATTTTATGTTTGGTTTAAAATGTATTTTATTAAGATTATGTATTTTTTGTTTGACTATATTGAAGAATTTGGTGCTCCTTTGACTTTTTAAGTGAAAATATATCGATGTGTACATGGATAAAGTTAAAAGAGGTCGCGATGCCATTTTTGTGCAATTCTGGGATTCTTTTGAAGTGAAAATAGGTCGACGTGTATATGGATAAAGTCAAAGGAGTGCACAATGCCATTTTTGTGCAATTCGGGGATTTTTTTTAAGTGAAAATAAGTCGATGTGTACATGGATACCGAGTTTGTGCAGTTGTTTGTCTTGTTATTTTGGCTTTGTGTAGCAGTGATTTTTGGCACGAAAATCGCCGCTTCGCATGCCAAAATAACAAGTCAAAGAATTGCACAAAATCGGTATCCATGTACCGGCAAAAATCACCAAGTTTCGCCAAGGGGTACCCTAAACTATACTTTTACCGTAATTTCTTTACGACTGCGACCCATTTTTTAATAATAAATAAAACATTATGAAGTAAACAATAAAAAATCAAAGCAACCGATTTTTTAAATGCCACCACAATGCAAAAATGAAAAAAAGCGGCAAGCGATAATTTTAATTTTGATTTTATCCAAAAATATTTCAATGTACGAAGACTTTTGTGAGATAAAATGTTTGTCATTTTTTGGCAAAATCCTAGTATACGGTACAGCCTTGGCAGAATTTCGAAAATTACCGCCAACACCAAAAACGACCCAAACAACGTCTATGTACTATATACTATATACATACCCAAACAATGTCTATGTATATACTATACACTATATACTAAGTATATACTATGTATAACTACATATATTCTTTGAATGACCCGCTTACTACTCATCGTATATGTCCCGTTTTTATTGCTCATCATAAAGTTGCCAAATCCCGTGTGCACCGGATACTAGGATTAAACCTCATTTTTTTATTATTAATTTCTAAAAAATAAAGTTTTGGTATATTTAAAAAAATATTTCATGTAATTTTGTTACGAATAGATTATAGATCTTATTATTAAAATCTCATTCAGAAAGTTTACTTTTAATTAATGAATAGAGCCCTATTTCAATGAAAATCATAAGTGCACGAACACTTTTGGGAGCCACTGTACATTATAATCAATGTATCGAATTTCGTAACATTTATATTTTTAACCACGTAACAATATATTTATATTAATATTAATTTGCAAACAAATTAGAAATTATTAATCTACTCGGTGAACTATGACCTAGAAAAGAAAATGATAAAATCTGAATCTTACATACCTATTGTAAAAAATAATAAATCCATGTACAGTTAAACCCCAGATCTTTTAATAAGAAGTGGAACATGCAACTATAAAAAGAAGAACAATCAGAATTATTAAAATTTTAGAAATAATTACTTCAATACTTAATTATATATCATACGATATTAAAAACGATGCGTTCAGAAAGTACTAACGGTACAGAATTTATCAAAAAAAAATCATTCTACAATGCAATACAGTAAACTTCCATCTTATGTAATCTACCTGGAGGTTAAATTTATATTTACCACTATAAAATCAATGTAATCCTAGAAGCTCACGAAACGTCTCATTTATCAATGAAATTATAATAACGTTATAATTCTTGACGTTCAAAACCATATTAATTAATAAATTATAACTTTGCGATAAATTAAGTTCAAGCAATTACAAAACATTACAATTATTCACTATACACACAAAAATTGAAACACTGACATGATAAATTCAGCAAACCAAACCAAACAACCCACTTACTTCCACTTCTCGGTTGAAATATGGAACTAGCACAGTATTTCCTGTATAATATGTTGAAATATACAGTAAGATTTTGGTAATCAATAAAACTAAAATATATTTAAAAATTTCTGAAAATAATAGAATAAAAAAAACATAAAATTAAAATCGTTTATATGCAAATAAATGTTGCACGCACTAATCAGGTTATTGAAATTCATTTGGCAACAGTTATCCCATATTTTCTCTTCCCATAACAACATGATCGCTCGTGGCAACAATCAGAAACTGAAGTCAACAATGGCGGAAGATTCGAATTTGCAGAAAAATGTTCATCTGGAAATTTTGCAAAATGGAAATAGGTATAGTCTTTTAAATAATGTACAATGACGATTAGTTGTTATTTCTGGCTTCTGCAGCTTTAATCATGCTGCAAATTACGAAGCATATAATATGTATTCGTATAGGAACTTTGCAGTAATACATTTGAATTTTCCTTTTCATCTAGTTTATTAAAATCATTAGAAATGTGTGAAATCTGTCTTTAGATTAAAATAATTTGTGAACACATTATAAGTTTTGTGATCTATACAATTTCAGTAAATTTCTTGGATGTGCGATTCAATTGTTATTCGAAACCTACAAACTGTAGTACCCATTAATATGTATGGTATTAGTTTACTTTAGCAACTAATTAGCTGTACTGCCCAATTCTTTATGACTAAGTCTACTGAATATCATACAAAATCTTCAAAAACATAGATTTTCCGACCTTATAATTTCATTATTTTAAATATTTTGAGATCTATTGCAAACTTTTTCAATAGTATATGTTTTTTGATAAGTTTTGAATTAATTATTTTAGCGATATTTAATTTTTTTTTTTTTTTCTTTTCCAGTTTGTTGTCCGAAAAAGAAATTAAAAATTTTGTTGCTAAATGGTTGCTCTCGCAATCAAACTTAATACATGAAAATGTTATTTCAATTTTTGATGATCAAAATTTAGCAGAGCATGTGAATAGTATTTCAGTCTATGAAGATTTTGAAATTCCCACAGTAAGTTTTTTAAAAAAAATTTTTTTACATTTTTATTGCTGTTTTATTGTATTTGAGATATCTTTAAGGTTAGTGTTTAAAATATAATCTGAAAATGTTTTCTGCAACAAATGAAAACAAACTACAGTAGATTAATTTCTACTATTTAGTGCCCTAAACTTCATCTCTTAATACGCTGTGCATTATTTTATTTGGCAGTGTTTTCATATCACATATATTTTGTCATAATTTTTTTTTTTTCCCTCCCTAGATTATAAGATCATAAAATTAGCTAAGCATTTTAATGTTAAAAAATTTTATTATATTCTGAAGCTCCATAAAAAGCAATGAAAACTGTACTTTTCTATTATGCACCTGCCACACATTTGGGTTAGGTTTTTAGTTGTAAACAATTTCTACTTCTAAGAGTAGAGTATAGAAACACACAAACACGATAGCCCACATGGCCCTACCATTGGATTTCGGCATGTGTTTGCTTCTATTTCTCAAATGCCAAACTGTGTGGCCAGTGCACAATGGAAAATTAAAATTCTGAATGATATTTAATTTATAATTCATAAGCTTCATATCTGACATAAATATTTTCAACAAATGGTATGCTACTAGCAAAAATTTGTCTCTAATTTCTTTTTTTAACTGAAGTTTTTAGATGAGAAAAAACATTTATTTTTCTTCAAGTCATTGATATAACTTAAGTTTTGAAGTACCCTGTTTTTTTAGTAGAAAAGGGTTGAACTTATTAAAAAGAAAATTCTATTGAAAGTTGCAAAATAGTCAATAAGCAACTTAAAGTTTCACAGTAAAGTTAAAAGATAGACAACTATGGCTAGCACCTGAGTAATTAACGAACAATTTTAAAACAATCAAGAAAGACAATTTACAAATTTTTGTAGAGATCTATAATAAACTTTTATTAAGTAAAATGTGCTTTCAATTTTTGTAGGAAGAACTTCTTAACATAATGCATAAAAATATGTAGTGCAGTTCCAGAGTTTTCCTTGATGTAGGATTCAATTGTTATTTGATACATGCAAATTGTAGTTTTTAACATTAACATGCATGTATTGTTTTTTTTTTTTTTTTTTTTTTTTTTTTTTTAAATCTTCTAATTAACTCTACTGTCCAGGCCTTTATGGCTAAGTCTACTGAAAATCATAAGAAATCATCAAAAAGGTACAGTTTATCTCATGAGCAGAGACTGTAGGTAGTGAACATATATTATTTGCACAATAACTGAATGGCAAGAGATTAGTCGATTGACTGAAATTAATTTCTAGCTTGGAAGGAAATAATTATTTCAAAATAAAATTTTTATAAATGCATCTTTAAAACTTACCAAACTAGAAAAATTCCATAAAAGAACATAACACTTTCTGATTATCTACACCCCCACTGAAAAGCTACAAAAAAGTGTACTCAGGGCCTAACACCGTGTTGCCAAAAGTAATTATGTGGTTAGAAAGAAATTAATTTTATGCCAGAAGGCATTTGTATGACAGGTATGCTTGTTATACCCTTCCAGACAACTTTTCACAGTAAAAATATGCCTCTTGGCAAAAATTGGCGATTTTTGGTGCTACGTGGACACCGAGTTTGTGCAATTCTTTAAACTTGTTATTTCTTTCTAAACTTGGCTTTGGTGATTTTTGGCTAAAAAATCACCACTACACAAAGCCAAAATAACAAGTCAAAAAATTGCACAAACTCGGTATCCATGTACATATTGGCCTATTTTTGCTTAACATCAGAGAAGTGCACAAACTCAGCATTACGCACTCCCTTGACTTTGTCCATGTACACATCAATTTATTTTCACTTAAAAAGTCAAAGGAGCACCCAATTCTACACTAAAGCCAAACAAAAAATATGTATCTCAGTAAACTACATTTTAAATTAAACAATAAAGTAACCTTAAAAAGGAAATTCATCTTGTAGCATCTAAGCACTACATAAAGGAAATATCCACTTACCTTAATTAGAAATTTCCATGTCTTCAGTTTGTGGCACACAAAATTCTTTAACAGCATCTAAAAACTTTCCTCAAACCATGTCCCCTTTCTAATGGAATGCTTTATATGATGAGCATTTGAACCTTTCTTGCAACAAACCCATTCTGAACGGTCTTTATGTTCGATCATACACATTTCCTTGGTACAAACAGGACACCTATAATTCCATTGAATTACAACCAATAAAGTTTCTTTTCATCTGTCCTCAACCACTTCAAAAAAAGAAAAGAAAACATCTTCCGCCCTCTTGTTATACCACCAACACCCATTTTACGATGCACAGCACATAATACGCAATGTACTTCGTAACTGACATCCAACAAATATTTTCCTGTCAATCAAATTCACCGCAATGGCGCAACCGATTATGTCGTAATAGGGTATCCATAACATTCAACTGCTCAAGTTACCTTAAATGAAACAATTTGCCGATAATCCAATTGGCACCCTTAAATATAGGCTAACCCTTTTACTTTTGCAGAAACTTGTGCCAATTAGACTGCAAATTATGAACCCTCCTGTGGAAATTTCAGTATTTTAGTATAGGAATGGACCATATACTACATTTTCTGTTGTTTTTTGCAAAATGTCGTAATTAGCTTTCTGCGTGTGTAAGCCATAATGTGACTTGCTTCAAAGCATTATGTACCTCTTTTTTTTTTTTTTTTTTTTTTTTCTTTAATTCTTTTTTATGTAGATTTGCTATATATATAGAGAGAGAGAGAGAGAAATGTATAAAAAATTGAAAAATATGGATCTCTTGTATGAATATTGAAAAAAAAATTGGGAAGACTGGAGGAATTTATGAAATAGATGTTAAGGTGCCCAAACAAACAAACTCTATTTTTTTCAAACTCAGAATTTACAGCTTTTCTAAAAGGTGCAGATAATTAGAACACATCAAATAAATTCTTGAAGTCATGGATGGAGATTTTGTTTCCAGGAAAACTTCATAAGCACCAACTTCATATCCAGAAAAATTTGTACATGCTTTTTGAGAAATCAGATTTCTAGAGAGAATAATATTTTACTAGAACTCCTCCTTATAACTTTATCATTAGCTGTTCAGTTTTAGGTGCATCAGAATATTAATTCATATAAAAATGGTAATAAGTTATAAATTAGCTCTTAATTTTAAACTATTCATATCATTCAAAGTGTAGCAAAAATAATTAATTAAAAAAGAATAAAATATTCTATAACATTGCATGCAAATGCATTCTTTTCTTTTCTTTTTTTTTTTTTTTTTTCCCTTAAGTTATTCAATTTTATTTTTCCTTAAGTTAATCCTTCATAAATATGTAATAATTTTACTGTGTTATGGCTTATATTTATTCCTTTCATAGAATGGGACATATCCTAAAATATTTTATCATATTTATCGTTTTAACTCGAGTGCTCCTGAAATGGAAGAACTAGATGATGATCAGCGAATAAGTACAAACTGGATATTGCCAACACAAGAATTCCATGGTCTATGGGATTCACTTATTTATGATTCTGGAGTAAAGGATGAAGTTAGTATTTAAAATTTAGATGTAATGATTTTTTGCTTCTTGCATATTTAAATATGTATATTTATATTTTATATTATGTTTTGCTTTTTGCTATATAATTTCAAAGATGTCATTTTAATATGTGAAATCTTGTTTCTCATAAATTTTATATCCATGATAATTAGTTACTATGATTGAATGCAATCTCATTTTTGTCTTTACATGAGAAACTAATCACTTTATGCATTTTTTTTCAATTAACATGAAATTTTTTATTATCTGCAGTGACAAATTTGTCTTAAATCCCTATATTGTTATTAATAAGTGAGAAATACAGCTCTTGCAATGAATAAACATTGCACAGCCATTGACATCTGTTATATATAATGTTTATTTCAATAAAGTGCTAAAACAGTACACATTTTGAACAGCAATTTAGCTTTATGGCTCGATGTGTTTTATTAGTAAGATTTGTTATGTGTCACATCATGTTTTTTAAAGATTGGTAGAATTATGTTTTTCAGAAATATTCAGTTGAAACATAAGTTAATGCATTAATAAGTATGGGTCTTTTTTTATTATTATTATTATTGTAAAAATTACTCTAACTTAAATTATGTGATCTAGTTTTAAACCCGAAGTTACATCAGGATTAAGAAGCTAACACCAAAAGGTATTGCACTGTTCCCCCCCCCCCCTCACAATGAGCATTTTGTAGAATATCTGTTTGATGCTGATCCTATACCAAAATTCTGATAGTGATCTTCAACTGTAGCAAATTGTAGCATTGAACTCATATTGAAACATTTGGTACTTTTCCGTTTCGCGGCGCGCAATCTCGCCAAGCAGACTTTATTGGCGACAACATACAGTATAACCATAAAATATTTAAAAAATTAGTTCTAAAGAATCTTTTTTTTGAAGGCATAACATTTAATATCTTTTTTATAAAAGCCAATAAATAAAGACAATAAATTTGTAAAAAGACAATTAATATTAGAAGAATTTAATGGCTTTCATGGTTCAACATCCTAATTCGCGGTTCTATCACGTGACCCCAAGCGATCTCATCTCACGTAAAAACGCTACAAAAATCTAATGCTCTCAGTAATATCTACATTAATTTCAAGTTAAATCTTAATTTGGAAAATAAAAGTTTAAATGCAAGAAATATTTCAATTCGTATGATAACTTACTCAGAAATTATGTAAAACGCAGTGCTTTACTTCGCTAGTGCATTCTCATTAGAATTGATGATTTAACCCTTAATTTTGCCTTTCTATATTTTCGGGTGAGCGGTGCGATTGCATCCTAATTGACTTATTACCGCAAATGGTCTAGGGTATAAAATTTAACTACTTTTGTAAAAATTCTATGTAATGTATGCCAGTATGAAAGAAACAATCAATCTGATAAGAAATGGCTATGGCCTGTTTTGAAAATGAAGCGTAAATGTTACCAGTGAAGATATTTCGCTGGCATCCGTTGTACCATTATGCCGACTTTATGGTTACGCCGGCAAACTGAAAAGCAAAAAAAAAAAAAAAAAAAAAAAAAAAAAAAAAAAAAAAAAAAAAAAAAAAAAAAAAAAAAAAAGAAAAAAAAAAAAAAAAAAAGTTTTTTTATTCAATTTGTTTTTTAAATAAAAATTTCATTTTAATCAGATATTTAGATATTTTAAAAAATTCAAGCAGTTAATTTCTATTAAATTTTCATCCTCTAATACTAATTATAATTCTTTCTTTAAATTTACATCTTGCTGATAGATTGGGCTGGAAAGTTTCAGTGAAAATGGCTGAAACCACTGGTTACTACTAATTAAAATTAGTATAATAGAAACTATTATGGACTATAAAAATGGCAATAACTGGCTGCCATATTCTTGGGCCTGGGATCAAATCCCAGAGAAGACTTGAATGTTTGTAAGTATATAGCGTCAGTGCAGCGTGAAGGCAGTATTGTTGAGCTTAACTCTTTCGCATCAAGAGGTTTTCCTTCTCCCATGACAAGTAGAGTGCTACAGCACTAACAATAACCTACTTAAATAAAGCTATAGCTTCTTTGTTGGACACTTTCACTACTGTATGCAGTTTCCCTTTGAGAGAGGATTGCAACTAAAAATTGACAATAAATAAAGGAAAAAAAAAGGTGTTAACCCTCTGAGCGGCTGGGGCTTTTCGATCTGTAATGAAGACCTGTATTTAAAGAGCTTTTATTAGCTAAACATATATATTTACCTATTTTAGTCTCTATTTTCATAAACTTGCATTCATCAAGATGACATTTATATTATTAATGGAATCAAGAAGGCAAAATATCTTAAATCATAAGCTAATATGGTTGAAATAATAGAACTACTTTTAGTCGCTTCAAAAGAATGATTGGCATGCCATTTAACAACTCCTAAAAGCAATGAACAATGCACTGTGATGGGGAAAGCACTAGGTAGAAAATGATTCAGCCGTTCGGACAACCTACTGCTGTCTGAATATTCAGGCATTTGGGGTGACTTCGATGCAAAAGAGTAAACTCCTCTTGAGAGATTTGGTGATAAAGGAAGAGATGTTAAAGATGCCTGGACCCATCCTTTACTGTGTTCATCAAAATTCGGATCGAATTTCTTCTCAAACATGTAAAATCAGATGCTGCCCTTGTGTAATGTATAAAGGAATAAAACTAGGTGCAGTGTTCTGAAGGCTTCAGTACCATGTTCTAGAGTGTTATTGAAAATTAGGAGAATTTTAAAGCTCAGGTTTTGCTGTGCTAAGTAATGTTTGACTATTTTAATATTCATCGAAGGGACTATCACTATGCGGCCAATGCTCAGCCACATACCATATACAGTACAAAGTCCGTAATCCGGACTCATCAGGACTTCAGCAATTCTGGATTAGGGGTTTTCCCGTATTATAGATCATCAATTTAAATCTGGTAAGATGGCATGCAGAAATTATACAATTAAAAATATGAAACCGTAATTTATGAATAAAGATAATTATGATTAAGGTATTAAAATTACAAAAAAAAAAAGCTTCTATTTTTTGTTACTATAGTAAACATTATTTCAATGCAAGTTGTTTAAGTTGCTCATTGTGTGATAAACTTTCTTTTAATTCTCTCTTCTATAAACAGACATAATATTGTTCATTTACAAGTTCCACTTCAAATCCGTAAGTGCGTGTCGAGAATACCGACTAATTGTCAATCGAAATTTTTCGTTTTCAATAATGTTCTCTGTTACTTTCTTCACTATCGGAAGCATGCATGGGTAAACGCTTTACTGGCTTTATCAAACGCGCATGCGTAAGTTTGTGGCTTTGAGTTCTGGATAATGGATGTCCAGATTACGGACTTTGTGCTGTATAATTGTAATTCTCACACTGGACAAATCAAATGCAGACAATTAAGATCATGCATGTATGCAAAATCATATTATACAAGTTCACATCTGGCAAAGTTTGCTGTGTTTAATAAGCTGACATGTCTTACCCATAACCTTTTCATTAACTTCAGCATAATACAATACAATACAACATAATACAGCTTGATTATTGAGCCCACTGAGGATTTTTACATTGGTGCATTATTCCGATGGTCATATTTCTGGTAACCCAGCAAATTCTAGAATATTCCATTTTAACAACCCTGCTCCAGTCCCCATATGTTGAATTCAAATTTTCTTCTATCGACAAAACCTGGTTACCTTACTTTTTTTATTAGCACTAAAGTTCGATAAATTTTGAAATTCACTTTTTTTTGTAAGAATAACTCTTCAAATTCTTGCCACCAAATGTTTTCATGATACATTATTTTTAAAAAAGAGTGATGAAGAATCCGTATGCGTGATCCTTGCATTGTAGAAAATAGTGGCATCTATAAACACTGAGTTTTTAATATATGTAGTCCTCCAACAGAATATGGCCATCTTAAAGCCTGAATTTTGAATTCTGAATTTCCTTTGATTTATTTTGTATTTTGTACTAATTTAGTGAATTTTTGTTTAACAAACTCAGTGATTTTAAAACGAGAAGTGACAACCAGGAGTGTTTGTGCTATCAGGTTCTGTGTTCCTCCTTACTTGCTTTGAAAACATTAACTGTCCTCACTCGGAACAGGGAGCTTACTAAAGCTATGTTCAATTGTGAAGCCATCCACAGGAGGGTATCGAAAACTTTTTTTCTATCTTTACAGAGATTTCCGGACTTCGAATACAGAGACCACCACTGGGTGAAGTAAGATATAAAATCTACTAAACTCTAATTAACTTTGGAAACCAAGCTATCTATAACAGAAAGCGTATGTAGCACAGAGAGCTGAAACCGATATTTTAAATTATCTGAGGATAAACCTCTGGCTGAAGGCACCAGCAACGAGTAAACTACTAAGGCAAGCGGCCTGCTTCTAATAACTTCCTCTCTTTGCTTGGCAAAAGCCACACTTAAGTACTTGGTGTTGCCAAATTTGCATAAATAAGTAAAAGTTATAATTCTGGCCAGAAGTAGAAAATAAGATGTGATAGTAAAGATTTAAAATAAAATAAACTTAGAAACTTGGATTTACATATTCCCGCCAGAGTTAATTAGTTTGAAACTGAGTCTAAAACGACCTTGTTGAAAACTTTTAGCTCTAGAATCTAACGCGAGGCCAATCTTTTACAAACATTTCTCTCTAGAAACTAGATATTAAAAAAAGTCGTTTTTACATTATATCTCTATGGACAAGTATTTTCATCTGTACTGCATCTAAACAGGAGTTTCTTGTTGAAATCTGGTTCCTTATGGAAGGAAAACTAGTTTATGAAATGTTACACAATCAAATGGCAAGTAACTTGAATATTTATATTTCTCCTTTAAAATTCTTATTTCATTCATGACGTTATTTAATTATCTCCCCGTGCTCTCTGACTTGTGTTGTAAAGAAAAACACCAAAACACGAGCGTGTCTATGTACAAGTGTTCAACACTACCGCCTGCAATCAAAACACTAACGTGTTAAAATTCAACATAACAAGACCTCAGAAC